TGTTGATTGTTTTTACAAATGATTATTCACTCGATAATGACAGTGATATGTTTATCCTGTCTTTTCAGATCTGATCAAATTCCATAGATCAAGTGTAAGTTTGGATACTGGTCTAAGATATCGTGTTAGCTGTACTGTAGACTAACTCCGACCTCCTAAGATCTCAGCATAGTGAATTAATTGTAGAGTCACTAATCACTTGTCATCTCAGTCATACAGAACGTTAGTCGCAGTTTAAATGGCCCAGTGAAGCTGTGTGATAATCGATGGGAATCTTCAGCAAGCGCTAGTTACCTTACGATCACAAATACAAATCTATCATGCACTCTGAATAGTAAGAAACTTAGGTTCAAGGTTCCTTGTAAACAATATACAAGCACCTAATATCATTATTTTTTAAAATAACAGAAAGTAAGATATAAAGCTGAGAAATAATCAATGAAAATATTGAATTAGAACAATGGATTATATTATTTCCATTGTTTTCAAATAAAATCAACTGAACTCTCCATTTCTACGGTAAAGCCATTCACGATTTAAATAACTTCAACAAAATAGAATGATTGTTGAAACAAAGAATCAATGTAAATCTTGACTTCTTTATTTATCCTACATTACACTGATAAATTTCAGATCAAAATCAAAATAATGTTGTACAGATTAATTAGTGTATACTGTTTTATTAAACATTCTATATGCTTTTGTAATTTTAATCGAACAATAAGAAAATTTCATATTTTGATTAAGTTTTGTTTTCAGTGATTGAAATCATGAGTTAATTGAAGCTAAACCACCATGGAAAACCTGGAAGCACTGGACGGCCGTTTCATCATAGTATGAGATTCCTCAGCAGTGCGGCTATCCAGTGCTTCCAGGTTCTCTATGGTGGTCTAGCTTCAATTAACTCATGATTTCAATCAATGAAATTTCTAAAATCTCCACAATACCCCTTCTGATAAGTTATGTTTTGTTTATTAGTAAAAGTATGAAACTTTAAATAGATTCGTGAAGTCAAGTGGATAAAAATTTGACACTTACTTTGAAGAGTAGTTGATTACAAATTAAATTATATTATAGTGACATTTGTACTTTGATAATTATAAACTGTAACGTGCCTTTTTTAAAATCATAATAATTTATCTTTCTAGTGAAAATGTATTTTGGTTGACTAGTACATTTGTTAAAATGTTTTAGTGTGGAAACAAGTAATGTAAGTAGAACTCTAGAATAAATTATTTGTTATGGTGAAGAAGATTTGTAGCTCAGGTCGATGATTTTGATGGAGATTTGTTCTCTGAATTGGATGGTTTAGTCGTGGAGCTTTCATCGTTATTCTGAATGACATCATTATCACAAACTTCAGATAGAAGTGAAGTGTTCGAACTTCTCCACATGTGTTTCACAGTTTGTCCTGTAGACCTCGATGTTGATTGGTTCTTATTGACATTAAACCTGTCACTGTTTACTTCTTTATTTTGATTGTATCTCTCATTGCACAAGCTATGAACTATGCGTGGAGAAGTTTGAACAATTCACTTCTACCTGTAGTTTGTGCTGATGATTTCGTTCGGGATAACGATCAAAGCTCCACGACCAAACCATCCAGCTTAGAGAACAAAACTCCATCATAATGTAATTAGTTTTATAACATTAGGTAGTTTTAGTATCAATTAAACGTCTATCAATCAAATTTGCCTTTCGTTTTCATCTAAAACCCCTAGATACTCTTAAAACATATCTTTGAATTGAACCATGAGTCTTCAATTTATTTTCTATGCTAAATTTAGCATTATGAAAATTCCCTAAAGGTGGAATAACAAATTAATGTGGCTATTTTTGGATTTTTAAAGAATATATGAAAAACTTATACATACATAAGTAATTTTCTCAGACGATATTGAAAAGACCAAAATTAGCTTTCTTTCTTTTAAACAATATGAATATCTCACTAATAATAATGATTTCTAGTCTGCTTTGGGACAAACATTGCAGCCTTTAGGCTATGAATATTATCAAGTGAAATATCTCACTTCCATAGTTTGTATCAATAAAACTGATAAACCTTTTCATTATTAATATTTTAAGGATTTATCATAGACGTTTATTAGCGTAATTTACTTAGACATTAATAACATTCCTATTTCTTACTGATAGATTGTATCTAAAATATTATTCAGTGTAAAGATGTGTGAATTCATTATCGTATTATTAAGGAACAATTGATTATATGTTTTTAACCTAGTAACTGAACATAAATCTGTTAGAATAAATCCATAATTTATATTCGTGTTGAAATCCTTCCACTGAAATCTATGAACTGTTTTGACTTGATTTGGTTTATAAATTTTAAGATGGTAAAACACACTTTAACTAACTTATAATCTCTTTACTAGATGGGAGTGTACATGAAGATAGAAGTTGTGGTATTTGATTTTTATTAAAAATGATGAAATTGTCCACAACTTGAATATCAACGAACATGGTTATTTTTGCTAAACAAACGGAAGTTATAACTGAGAACCTTCTATTATCATGTTATATTAAATTATTGAATCTTATAACAAAATTATATCTATTATACCTTTTACTGATTGTACAAAAATAGCCCACATTAGTTGAGAAAAGTTAGTTTATGATAATACAAGTCAGTAAGAAGTGTTCCTGAATAGTACTGAATATAGGTAGAACATTTTGATGGAGTTTTGTTCTCTGAGCTGGATGGTTTGAGCTGATGATGTCGTTCAGAAGAACGATGAAAGCTCCACGACCAAACCATCCAACTTAGAAAACAAAACTTCATGAAAATCATCCACCTGAGCTACAAATCTTCTCCACCATCTCATAAGTTGATCATGTTTGTTGTTGAATTTAACATACCAACCATGCATAATTTCATTTATTTGCCTATGATTTCTTAATACATAGAAGTATATAAAGTGTTATTTTTTTAATGTATGTCTACCTTCAAAATGTGATTATAAAACGATTACAATGAATTATCAACTATTCCACTGAATAGTCAAAATAGTTTCGTTACTCAATTTACACACTCTGTTAGAATTGAATAACCTTTAGTAATCTTCTTGCCATCAAGCTTAGCCAACAACGACACAATATTATCTATTAATTAAAAAAAATTAAACTCTTATAAAAACCCTTTTGGCAATCTAGTTGATGATAGCCCAACTCATGAATAATATCACTTTTTAAATTGTCAAAGTAGCCCAACAGCTTTGAGGTTATCAATGCTAAGATTAACCTGACCATTCAATGTTTCATAGTTACTTATTTCAATTTAAATGTTTCATTCTTTTTAACACCAAAAAACAACTAATGAACCCTTTTGACACACGAATTTATCACATATTACATATATACTTACAGTAAGAATAATGTTTTTACGTCATGTTCATCAAAAGGACTACGTTAGTTGTTCCATAATTTCGCTTACATGTTTTTACAGTTGATTTATTTATATTTTTTTATAACTAGTTGAATAACATATGATTCTTTATGAATCTCTATTATCTTGTCTTATTTCAATGTCATTAAACGTTACCCTCACTTAGCTAACACTCATCATATGGTGATTACTTTTATGGATTATCTTACACAAAATGCTGCAAGACAGTATTCATATACCTGCAAAATGCATGGAGAAAGCAAAGGCTCATCATTGATTCTTCAGCCAAATAACACTGATGAATTATTATAATGTTAAAAATATTAGTTTTCCAGCTATACAGTTTAATAATTAGCAGTTTATGAGCAATGTGCCTTTGGAAATATATAGTTGGAATACTTATGAATTAGAGACTTGCGAGTCGATTATTGATAGTGTAATATTATATTATTATGTTGCATCATCAAGGTTCTCCTACGTTGCGTTTTGTAGCTTTAAACTACCTCATCGTAGTTACTTGTTATCCGCTAATCCATGCATTATAGGTTTTTAACCATCCTTTGGTAGTATACTTCTATGTTTCGTCAATCTATTAAATCACCACGTTTCGAATCGTCAGACTGATATTACAAACTGTGGATTCTAAGATGTTGAGATCAGATTCTAACAGTTAACTGGTAAATAAAAACTCTCATTACCGAAGCAAATGATTCTTAACAATAGTCTTTACACAATATAATTACACAACATAGATGCTGAATAAATTCTGGATGACTGTCATATGAGAAAGCGATACACTGAACAAATAGGTGTCCGAGGTATATCAGACTAAGATAAATTTTATTCAGAATTACTTCAAGTAAAACGAACTACCCAGTGAACATATTTCTGTATAATAAGAACTTTTAAATTCAACCTTTTTTTAAAATTAGCAACTTTGAGTTATTTACTTGTTATTTTATTAGCTAAGATAATTTGTTTCACAACTCACATGAATATAATACATGAAATATATGTATAGATATATATGCATAAAGCTAAATAATTTCCGTTTCACTAATGGAATTATGCAAAAGCGTATTACTGATTTATTATTTAGTTTAAACTACTGAGCACATGAACGTTTTTTCCACATATTTGTTAGTGATCATTTAATTAACAACGCGAAGTTGAAAAAGGTTTCTGTGAAAAATCTAAAACTCATATTTTGTTCCATTACTGTAAGATTATCTGAACATGATAGGGAAATGTTTACACGTTTGAATTAGAACAGATTACTTAGTACCTACAATGCTTGAATTTTAGCCACAAGGCTCCTTATTAAACAGCTTTGTGAAAAGTTCGTATAAAACAAAAGGCATGTTCTGGTTTCAACTGTTTGATACTAATCAAAATATAGTCGATTTAGAAAATCTGTGCTACTTTTGAACATTTGTTCAAGGATTGTATTTTATCGAGTTATTCTTGAATCTTCACAGTTATAAACCTGAAATTTTATCAAGCATCATGCTATTAGAAATGAATTGATGATTTCATAACTTTGTTTATAGTAATTGATAAATAGCCATGTGTAGATATACTTCAACATGTAACTTACCTGTAATGAACAATGTGGATTTCGTTGTGAATTATCCATATCTGAATTTTGTTCAAATTTACATGTACAACGACAAGTACATTTAGCAGTGTTCATATTTTGACTAAAAAAATCACTCAATTGAAATATAGTAAAACATGTGTAAAAATCCGTTGAAATTTTATGAAATCTCTATTCATAAACATTCTGTTTTAAGAAAAGACTGTTAAAAGAAAATATCTTCTAGTTAAAATTCCTTTGAATTACTTGTATACTAGAATCTAAAATGATACAAATTTGCAGTAATAACATTTATACCAGGACATTTTTATTTCCGTATTTTTGATTTGTCAAATTGTGAAGGTCACAACTATACTAACGAATAAGAAATGTATTAAAATATATAGAATGAACTAAATATATTAACTTCTATTATGTAATGAAAATATTCAGTTGCTAACCATTTTTAATATGTGTATAAATTGTAAATTTAGTTAGATTTATTCAAAGCACGTATACTAACTTATTGTCTGTAATTAGATGCTGCTTATTAGAAACACAGAAAAATTCTTCTGCTTTATTATTTTGATATAATGACTTATTTCAAATGGGTTTTGTGGAGATAGTAATAATTTCAATGGTTAAGATCATGAGTCAGTTGAAGCTAGACCACCATGGAAAGCTTGGAAGCACTGGATGGCCGTTTCGTCCTATCGTGAAACTCCTCAGCAGTGCGCACCCACGACCTCGCCTCCTGCGAGATTCAAACCCAGGACCTACTGGTTTCCAAGGTGGTCTAGCTGCAACTGACTCATGATCTTAACCATTGAAATACTGACTTATTTCTTACTAAAATAGAATTTTTCCAGAGTTAATAGAGGTATTTCAAGAAATATCGATACAGCTTAGTACCATATGTTTATGACAAAAAAAGGTTTGCTAGTTTGGTCCATCCAATTAGATAGTTTTATTGCTGAGTAGCTGTAAAATAGTATTTTGAGAATATCTTTTAATTGGCAAATCTCTTCAGTCTATGGAAAAAAAACCAACCGGTATATTATGTATTTGCTTTGAACATTATGATACACTTTATAGTTTTATTTGTACATTGACTAATACTTGCAGACATAGTTGTTCATTTCTAGACAAAACGGTGATAATCATCAACAACGATAACAGTATGTAACTAACCCATACCAATCATGTCAACACACATTGTACAATTTAGCCCATATCAAGACTTAATAGCTCAGTGTTCATTTAAATCAAAAGGCTTTGAGTATGAATATTAACAAACATCAACACTAGGATTCAGATAAATAAATAAATAGCAAAAAATACGCTCTCTGTATTCTAATACTAAACACTGAATCTCATTTATTTGTTGACAGAAACAACTATTATACATATTACATATTTTGACATTTATATTATAAATATGTTTTTATCAACATACATTAAGTTTACTATTTGTAATAAATATATTACCAGAGACAATTCTACAATAACATTTTTTAAAAGATCTTACTGCATCGACATCGTTATGAACAATGTTTGGATCCAGTCAGATTGAAATAAATTTGTTGGTTTAAATAATAAAGTATTAATAACACATTTTATTCATAGAAAATAAGTCACTTAAATATAGGCATAAACGTAAAGTATCTGTGGTGTTTGAATGACTTAATGATACCTTTGCATTTGTGGAAGCTTAATTTTGAATTCTAAATACAGTACATTCGTTTGTGCTTATCTAGTACTTCTTGATCCGATTACGTTATTTCTGAGATTCTTAGTTTGTACTATAATTCAAATACTTACGAATATCATAGTATCACAAGTTATTATCAAGGCATACATTTTACCATCTGTTCACAGAAACAAAACAGCTATGAAGAAAATAGTGCATCATTATAATGATATAGTTCTAAAGGACGTTCTTATATATATATATATATATATATATATATATATATATATATATATATATATATATATATATATATATATATATATATATATATATTGAAATCATCATATTTGTAACGTTCAATTAATTACAAACAAGGTTCATTCTTGCCTTATTTTTATTCAGTAAAAATAAATAAACTTTGAGGCAACATGAATTTCTTTTTTGTTTTAATGTCATTAAACTTTATTTTCTTTATCTACGTTGATATAATGACCCATTTTGTTAATAAGAAATTTATACGACCTAGAATGTTGTGACTTGTTCCATTTTCGTTGATATATAGATTATAAAATTACTTTATTGACTATTATCTGATCATTAAAGTCATTAAAATTGTTTTTTTTTTCCTAATAAGTATATAGTCCCATTATTATCTTTGTATAAATTGAAACAAGTCTAATTGTTTGAAGAATGAGAGCATTTACTTTGAGGGTTTACATAAGACAAATTGTTCGTTCATAATAAACATGAACAAAATAAATCCGTTTGATGGACTGAAATTTCTTCTGAGTAAATAGAATATATGCGTTGCGTTTAAAAGTGAAATTAAAGAAGCGTGTTTCATCCTATTTGCCATTTATCAACTGGATGTGTCTTTAGCTCTCTGATAATGCTCCCATAGAGACTTGAACCGAACATATATGTTTGGAAATATGATTATTTCTAGGCACTCTTTACAGAACGCACATTTACCAGTAAAGACCGATCGAATTTTAGCTCTTAGTATCATCCAATAAATACTTTAAATCTATGAAAATAGTTCTTGCAAGGTGTTATCTTATGTCAGTTACTGTTAACGATACACTTATGGTCACTCAATACTATGTAGGATGTTATGGTTTACTTATAGCCATATTCATAAACATTGTCAACTCATTTTTTGTTCACACACAAATAATAAGATGAACACTTACTCATTAGTTCGGAAAACCATAGTTTTCTTGTTTACCATTTGATCACAACAACTTGTTGTGAAAGCCATAACTTAATAAAGTGCCGGATAAAATCAGACAGAATCATTTGAGACGGCTACGTCCTGTAACAAATATTCGCTAAAACGAATTAAACTTATACAAAATAACAAATGTTACGCATTGTCTAATTTATCTGAAATAGATGTTGTCTATGTCGTCGAAACCTGAGAGAATAATTCCCACGAAACGATTGTTGAGACTGTGAAATTTTGACTTTAAATTCTCTAGCTTATTTTCAAAAATCAATATAGTATTTGTTTGTTTATAAAAAACTTTCACTTTGTGTTTTTTCTTTAAACCACTCACAAAAGTTATTCTCAGCATTTCCATTCTTTTTAAGATTATTCAGTCGGTCAGCTACAATGTAGGACAAGGCACATATACGCGTCGGTGCACGTTGCCATACCTCATTAACACAACAAGATGAACACCGGATTCATTGAAGTAATTAATTCAGTGGTGGTTATATATAAAAGAAAGACTGCATATAAGGACATAGTACAGGAAGAAGGAATTAGTTCGTAGAACGAAAGGTATGAACCGATTTTAATCTCATAGTTTAAAGGAAGACAGAGAGTGTATTCACCGATGCCATTTTTGTAACATGACGTTTATCAATTATAATGCATTCGTGTTAACTGTATTATTAGTTTGTATTTGTGTTTATTTGTTCAATGAACTTATTATCCTTGTGTTTGCAATCAAGTGTACTCTCGAAAAATACAGTGAAAACTATTTCAAACTTCCAAGATTTGGCGTTTACGTTATATTTCATAACAATTCTTCACGAAATAACAGGTTTGAAGAATAATGATAGGATACTTCATTGAAATATCATTTTACTTTTGACTCTAACGAAAATCAGATACATTTGAATATACAGAATATATGTGTTATGTTATATTTACTATGTATTATATTCCATTTCTAGTCCCAGAGTAAACATCTACTCTAGGATGCACGTGCATCCAACTGAAGAGTCCCAAATAGGGTGAAACTTGCGTCCTGTATTTCATTACAATATACATTCTAACTACTCTTATGTCATTAGTTGTGATAATTAAGCGACTATGAAATTTTACAGTTTCAATTTAAATTTTGCAGACTGAGTTACAAACTGACCACTGAACTGTTAAACTGACTCACTACCATTTATTTATTTTTGATGTTATACTTATTTAGGGAAATTATTATTAGCGTTGAGTAGACGTGGCACCTATTGAAAATTAATACGTCCTCGCCGTGTGTTTTTTAATGTCTCAATAGGAATACATAATGAACTGAAATTTGATATTTTAGATCCAAAAGTAATGATAATTAAAACATTTGGCATTACAGAGAGTTTAGAACAGATCAAATGTTGTTGTTTGAAATTAATGGTTAAATTTGGATGCATGGTCAGGCCCTTCTTTCTATCGGTTAAACAGTATATGGAAAGTTTGAGTTAATCACCTTTATGATTGGAAATAGTTGAATTCATGAGTCGATTGAAGCTAGGCCACTATAGAAAACCTGGAAGCACTAGATTGCCGTTTCGTCTTAGTATGGGAATACTCAACAGTGTGCACCCACGGTCCCGCCCCACACGAGATTCGAACCCAAGACCTACAAGTCTCACGCGTGAGCGCTTAACCTCTAGACCATTGAGCCGGCATCCATAAGTGTTAATGTCTAACGTCGAATACTAGGATCAGGTTTTCCTTAGTGGTCTAGCTTTAATGGACTCATGATCTAACCTATTGAACTTACTATAATATCCAAAAACCTCTCTCTGATTATATTTTTATCGAAATATAAAAAGGTATCTGAAATTTTTATTGTCAGATATATGATAATTTCTTTTATTGAATTTAAATAAATTTCTCACTAAACAATATAGAATGCATTTGCATTCATTGTAACCTATTAAAGCTGTCATATATATATCATACATAATTCGTAAAAATACCACCACGGCATTCCTTTATTGAATTATTGATTAACTTAACAGAAAAAAATAAATAGTGAACATACACCAAACAAAATTATTAATAATTTATTATTCAATCAGTTTACCAAGGAAAAACAAAAGCCGAAATTGATTGTTTATTTTACCTTCAATTTGTTAAACTTTATTAAATATTTCGTAATAATTTAATTGTTATTAGCTGTTAATTGGTTGAAATCAATTC